CGATATGGTCCCCGTGTGTTGGTCCAGCGCACCTACCGCTTGGCTCGTTTTCGATGTACACACGCACCTTTACCCACCTCGGAGTGAGGGGGGGGAGGGACTGACTGAGCGCCGAGACTGGTCCGTTATCGTGCCTCAGTCCATCCTGGTGTTGGTTCGTCGTCGGGATAGACATTGAGCACAGGTTGTCTTCTCCGTGATGGGTAGTGTCCATTACGTGTCCCCGTTTACGGACACGGTGCCCCCCACCCCCCGAAATACAGGTAGCGTTACGCAAAATGTATGTGTAAATTTACGAAAATACCCTAATATCTCGGAAACTGGCCCAAATGTATCGAGTGAAACTCTCGGTTTCCAGTACTGAATGATCTTGGGTCAAATGATAGCACAGGAAGGAACTTGTAGGTAATTCTGCGGTGGTTGGAAATGACTGTTTTTTTCAAAACGCAGAAATATCGAAAGCTCAAAAACTCCTTTCAAATGAGTTAACTAAATCTGTAGAAATACAGTGGGTGGCCTAATTCGTGAAACGTGGTGATCAAATTCTGTATGGTCAGTTCTGGGCAACTCGGACGATGTGTATTGTGCTTACCAGTCTAATGTGTTTCGGAACGTTTCTAAGTAATTTTGTCAAGGCAGCAATCAATGCTGCCTTATTCTCAAGCGACTTTCTATGTTCCTTACTGTCCTAGGTCGTCCCTTTGCATTAGTGCGTGTTTTTCCAGTAGAACGAGGAAAATTGGCAAAAACATCCTCCATTGACTTGATAATTGCTTGGTTGGTCGGCGTAAACGAAGACGGACAAGATGTAAATAAGCGCGTTGTCCTCGCAAAAAATAGAAGTTTCTTCTTCTCTTTTGGTTATTCTAACTTGCAAAGCTGGGCAGTCTCATGCCCATTAGAAGTAGTAATTACATCAACAAGCAATCTGTTATTTCACCACGCCCATATAGGGATACTCCGTAATTAAGCGCTAGCAGGCTCACCAACAAGTGATCGAACTCAGTAGGTAACCCAGAAACCCACCCAACTGAGTCAATTAAAGCGCGAAATTAGTAATATGCGACCTCGAGTTAGATGAAAACATTAAGAGGGTATTGAAAGCTGTGTGACGTTGGTTACAAATGACGCTTTTCTATAAAATGAAATAAGGACACCGTTAACGCAAAAAACTCATGCCAACTCTGTAAGCCTTATTTGCAAAAGCACGTAATGCATATTTTTGTGAGCAACTGAACAAGTAAACAGCATGAGCACAGTAAATGTCCAAAAGAAGCCTTTTGGACTACTCCTCCGGACAAATTTCCTCCAAGCATTTAGGCAGTATATTGTAAGGCAGTCGGTTGGTTGCGAGTTTCGGCATACAAAGTAGGTCGGAATGAAAGTCCCCATAAGGATACCTGTCAAGTGGCCGATCAATGACAGAAAAATTGAAATGGAGTCATAGACGTGCCATTTTTCCGCAAAATTATTGGTCGTTTTCCGATGGAAAATACTCTGACCTTTTTGGTGTTCTCACAATCGACTGTCCGAAAAAAGGTGACTTTGTCAGTTCCAGAAAGCCTTTAGCCCTGCCGTGGGTGCTCGGATTCTCGTTTTCCTGCAGATGACTGTTCGGGTCATATTTGTGGGCTCAGCGCGACATAGAAAAGTGGAATCAAAGTGAAAGTTGGGGTATTTTGTCAGTTCAAGCATCTTCTGACTGACACGGGAATCATTTCTTCTGTAAACCAAAAGCTGTATTTTTGAAACTGTTCTTGTCGTCTGTGCTTACTTTTAGGTTCCGTTCCGGCAGACTTATTATTTTAAGTACTTGAATATTTTCCAAATGATTGACGGACATATCAGCAGATATTACTGCACACAAACAGTATCTTACATCTCGCACGAAGGCTGAAATGGCCATTTGGTGATGAGCCTTTTTGCAGTTGCTTTTACGGAATGTTCGCAAATGTTGTGAAAATATGGCTGCGTTAAAACAATGGACTGCCTGTATGCGTTGTTACTGTCTTTTAGGGCAAGCAATCGCTTATTTACCGATCTGAATTTTTAAAATTCGGTATGACATCTGTTGTGCCTCCTCGCTCTTACCCACGGAATATTTGTATTCGCCTGGAGACTGTGCAAGCGTGGTGGAGCAACATGCTAACTGTCGACATTTCTATTTTATTTTTAGAGCAAATAATGAAACAAATTCTCGAATCAGATCTTTTTGATGAAAAAGCTTCCGTTGCTTTTAGGAGTAACCTAGTTCTTCACATCTTGCCTCTTCGATGTACGCAAATTAAAAAACATTTTAGATTTGACTAAGGTCGCGCTGGTAAACCAGAATCGTTTAGGTTAATGTACTCTACTGGAAAAGCACACACAAATGCGCTGATTTGTCCTAGGACAAAATTGTCGGAGTATATAGTGTTCTGACCGAGAGTATAAACTGCTTTTTGAAAACATATTCTGTCTGGGAAGAAAAATTCCGTTGTTTTGAAAATAATATGTAGACCTCCTGCTCTCTGTCAGAAAATGAACCTTTTATGAAATACGTTAAGCTTGCCCCCTTGTTGACAGTCTAACAGAGCCTCACGCGTCCAATTCCTGGGAAAGTCCTTTCCGAAGCTAAATCTCTCTTTGGTGGCGGGATATCGGACCCGCGCACATGCTCTCTGCTTCCGATCGTAGCCACCGCATCCTGCTTCCCTTCAGTGCCTTTGGGTCCGAATGCATTTAATCATTTTGCCTCATCCTTCTTTTGACATCACACGTTTGTTTTGTTTCCCGCTGCCTAAAAATTCTTTTGTTGAGGATCTGTTTGCGACTTCCAGAACAGTGTGCGTGTATGTGGAGAATCATCTTCGTTGATGACGGTGGTGTCGTGGCTGCAGGGTTGAACTTCCCGCCCTGTGAACTTTAGCAAAAATCCGGCGGTTGCATTGACACGCTTGGACACGCGTAAGCCCGCTGCCGCAGCAGGGTTGACTCAGCATTTTTGGCCCGACCATCGCCGTGTGTGTGTGTGTGTGTGTGTTTCGTCACCGGTCTGGACTGTCGGCATGTCAACTACGCAGTTGGGCCATGGCTTGCCTATCAGTACACGCGTGTGCGTGTGTCTGTGTGTGTATACACCCATTGCATCTGGACAGCCCGTTGCACCACCACCACCACCACCACCAGCTTGCACGCTGTCACTCTACTTTCCGTGCTGCAGTCGCGTCTCAGCCCCCCCCCCACCGCGTGACTGCGCCGGTGCCGGATGGCTGGATCTCGGAGGCAACAGTCGGTCGCTGTCTTCTCTCAGCCGGCTGCGAATAACTTTGCGCTCTTTTTTTCGTCCGGATCACACACACACACACACCTCTCGAGGTGTATTTAGTTTTAGGCGGGGCATATCACTGCAGGCCTTTGACATGCATCGTTTGCTAATATTGCGTCGTCCAACTAGCACTGCTATTACTGCGCGAACACACTGACCTTGCCGTTTAGGCTGTGCTCACCCTATTTTTCTATGCTCCCTCTCTTCTTTCAGGTATTCTATGAACTTGTGCGTCAGATAAACAGGAGTACGCCCGTCCCCAAGAAGACGCGAACAAAGAAGAAATGCACCATCTGCTAAGTCAAGACTCTGTGCGCTATTCCTCTCTTCCTTCTGGCTATCTCCTTCCGCTTAACGTCTCCCACTTTCTGCATATATACATATGTAAATGTACACGCGCAGACATGAGTGCTGCCGCCAGCTACTACGCACCCCGCCGCCGCCGTCGCCGCTGCCCTCCTCTCGAACGACACCCGTTTTTTTTATCTCACTTTGTGACAATCTTTCCACGAGTTGGTCCCTTTTGCTCACCTTTGACCGCTTTAGTTCTCCCCTCATCAACGTGGCGCCACACATTCGCATTTTCGTCGTAAGCTTTTTCGGTGTTTGCTTGAGGTCTTACCGTGTGTTCCCTTCGCTCTCCCCCCCCCCCCGGGCCTACACCCCCACCCGCTCTTTCTCTCATTTGCGAATACTTCCCCAGTTACTGCCTCTTCCGACCCACCTCTCTCTCTCTCTCTGCCTCTCTTCTGATTTTTTTGTTTTATGTCGAATAGAAAATGCGGCGAACGTTAATACCGGTCCGGTGAAGACTGTTTCCGCCCCCTGATGATGATGATCCAGTCTCGAGCGGCAGTGCCGTCTTGTGTTATGATTATCTAGTGTATTTTTGGGCAGTCTTGACACTGAAATTACGCTGAGCAATATGTCCTTCTTCCCTACTTCCTGATCTCACTGCTTTTCTCGCTCTCCGTGTCTCTTTGAGGTGCTGCGTTTGTGAACTATACGGTTTCTTCTCTATCCTTGACCTAGTCTGAAATTGTGTTTTCACAGCTACCGAGCACGTTCCCTTGTGGCGCTCTTTTTAATATTTCTGGCGCAGGCACGCGCATGACTGTGTTCTTCGTAACTTTGTCTCTTGCGTCCTTTTTGCTTGTCCCTTTATTTTTAGCGATCATGAATAAATTCCGCTCCTCCCTGCCGTCGTTCTGTTTAATCCAAAAGACTCGCTACTTAATATGTGTTAGTAGCAGTGGTAGCTTGTACTTTTGAGAGGAGTGTGTTAAATTTCGAACGTCAAACTGGGCTCAAATACTGAGGCGTAAACCAGGAGTAGCTCAGCCAATGACCGCACGTGATTCTCGAAATTGTTGGTTCCTCTAACTAATTAGAGGAAGCAGACTGATGCATACTTGCACATTTTCAGGTGAGACTTGGTGCCTGTGGTGCGGATGCCGCATTTCCGCGTATTTGTCTGCTTTTTGTGACCGAACTCCTATCAAAGTGAACGCTTTCCTAGGGCCGAGCCCCCTACTGTCTCTTCCGAAATTCAAAGACCACCTGTTTTTTCTGTTTAAACTTTCGAAAGTTTTGCACGGATCGGTCAGTTTTTTGCATACGAGAGTAGAGAGGGGGTGTTTCTATCGCAAAACGACTCAATATGAAGCCAGGTAATAAAAATGGCCAGTGAATGTCATACCTCTATAATTCTGGTCGAGCCAGCAAGGTGTTGTTGAAGGACTGCACCTACGCCTACGGTCGAAGCATCGACCATCAGGAACAGCCGAGCTTCGGGAGCGGAATGCGTGAGCAAGGTGGCGTCGGCAAGGAAACTCTTGATTCTCCCAAAAGCAGCCAGTGTTTCACCAGTCAGTTCGAGGAGGCCTTTGGGACCGGAAAGCATGCTGGTGAGCGGCAACATGAGGTGAGCACATTTCGGTAGGAACCGGCGGTAAAAAATGACCATGCCGAGGAATCGCTGCAAATGACGCTTGGAGGTTGGTGGAGGAAAATCACGAGATGCTTCAACTCTGGAGGACAGGGAACGCAAACTTTCAGAGCCTATAGGATGGCCGGTGTATTCAAACGAAGGCACACCCAGCCCGCACCTGGAGGGGTTGTTGATAACCCAAAATTTGTCATGATGGTCAAACACCAAGGCAAGGTGCTCTTTGTGTTCTTCCGCAGTCTGGTTGGTCACCAAGAGGTCGTCGATGCAGGCGTACACAAAGGGTAGGCCACGTAAGACATGGTCAATGAACCTCTGGAACGTTTTGGCGGCATAACGAAGACAGAACGGCATGTGGATGAATCCGAAGAGGCCAAAAGTTGTAGTGACGATAGTTTTGGGGATATCCCCACAGGGGTGACCGGAATCTGCTAAAAGGCACGCAACAGGTCAATCTTCAAGAAAACCGTTTTGCCGAAAAGGTCTCCAGCGAAATCCTGAGGATGGGGCACGGAATACGGATTAGGAATGATGACGTTTTCGAGGGCACGATAGTCGTCACAGGGTCTCCAGTCACCTGATGTCGCCTTGGGTACCACGTGTAGTGGGGACGCCCAGGGGCTCTCGGACGGTCGAATGATTCCCAGTAGCAGCATGTGTTCAAACTCCGCCTTCGAGGCCTGAGAACTGGCCGGGGCTAATCCTCTAGGCCGAGCGAACACAGGAGGACCTGAGGTGCGGATATGCTGCCCAACGTCATGTTGACCCTCGCTACTGCGAAACTGGGGCTTGATTATGTTGGGGTGTTTAAGGAGTAGTTCCTGAAAGAGGCTAGCAATAACTGTATCCAAGACAGATAAATTTCAGGAGGTAGTGAGGAGAGTTAAACCATACACAGAGAGACCAGTTGTACTGCCGAGAAATCGGGATCGTTGGCAGTCAACAAAGAGAATGTTCGAGCCGAGGATTGCATGAGGAACATCGGCAATCACGAAAATCCAGGAGAACGACCGACGAAGGCCAATGCTCAGGGTGAGGGACAGACTGCCAATAGTGGGAATGGGGGAACAGTTGGCAACTTAGAGGTGAAGACCAGGGCTGGGGAAACGACGATCGGCTGGAGTTGGGGGTAGGACGCTGATTTGGACTCCAGTGTCCACAAGGAAACGTCTGCGAGTCACACTGTCGCAGGCTTAGAAGGTGCGGCCGGAGGCGAAGAGCCAGAGAACACGGTTGTGTCTATTCTCTGGCTGTCTGGTTTCTCTGTTTCGACTTATATGAGCAGGGCGAGGGGCAGTGACGGGCCCTTACACCGAAATCGGTATGATACCAACAAATATCGGCAGTCCGAGGTCGCGAGCGACAACGACGACTGCTGGGTTAACGAATGGAAGAAAGGCGTGCAAGCTGTAGTTTAAGGAGGGACCATCTCATCCGCCATGGCCGACATCTGCTTCACTAACTGCTCCTTCACTGTCGATGCAGATGTGGAGATCTGGGTAACGGAGGGCTGCTGGAACCGTTGTACCTCTATAATTCGATCTGTCATTTCAGCCAGCTGTGGAACCGTGAGATTTTGAGAACCAGATGCCAAGGTCGTTTGAACATCTGCCGGCAGATGCTCTAGAAACATTTCATTGACGAGTTTCTCGTTAATCTGCATGTCTCCAAGGAGAGAGCGCATTCAACGTAGAGGTTGTGAGGGCTTCCGGTCACCCGATAATTCCTCCTTAATCAACTGGACATACCGCTATCAGTCGGACACAGCATTAAGGTGAAGGATTTCTGCCTTTTACGTGGAATAGGGAGCATCTGCAGGAGGATTAGATAGCAAGGACTGAACTCGGGGGATAACACTAGCGGGGAGAACCTCCACAAGTTTGTGGTATTTCACCAGCTCCTTGATAGTGTTAGCACAATAAAAGGCTGATTCGATACGGAGGAAATAAAGTTCTGGAGCGCGTTGCCAGAATTCGGGCAGGGTAAAATTGACGGCATGAAGGGACTGGGCGGAGGCATCAAGTTGTTATTTGGAGTGAAAAATAATAAGCAAGATAGATGTGGCGCAACATCGAGAAAATTAGGCACAAAAGTTGACGTAAATAGAATAGAAATTCACGAACAAATAGTACGTTAAGTGTTATTCAATATGACCGGCGAAAGTATAAAGTCTGCGTTATCGGCGGGAGTCACCAATGACGTAATTAATAATGTTCTCATGGTCTAACGCATAATATCGCACGAGCCTTAAGTATTAAAAGCGGTATGCAGAACAGGTTAGTGAACGTAAAATGACCTGGCAGCCGAGCACGACAGTGGGGCATGCCAACGAAGTGGGGTTGTCCAGGTGTGTCGTTTTCGGTTAAAGAAAACGAGGCTAGATTGTCAAAGGTGAATTAGTCCGGTACCTCGCCACAATAGTCAAAAACTCTATCGCCAAGTCTCTCGTGCTCGTTCGTATGTCAATGCTCCTCTCAGGTACCTCACATAGAACTGCTCTCTTGCCTGGGGCGCATGGCTTCTTCTTCTTCTCCTACTCATCCTCCTCCATCTAGTTATCCCTTTTTTATCATATTTTTTCAGGCTGTTTTACATCTTTTCATACGCGTTCGGATTTCTGTACCGCTAAAATCCAGCGTTGACTCTAAAATCTCACCTCTCTCAAAATCTGTCAGTTAGACTTATCTCTGCATTCGTGAAGAGCGACAAGTCTGTTGAGCCGGAAAATAGGACGTCTTGTGAGTACTACTCACTAGACTCAGTTCATTCCACTGATCGATGGTGACGACTACTTTGGCGCGAATACAGCTCAGCTTTTACACTGCCGGTCCAGGCGCAAAAAACGCAAGCGCGTTTGATAGCGTTATAGTTGGGAGGCAGTCATCTTTTGGCCATTTCTAGTATTTGATATTACAGCGAACCACTTTTATGCTAAATGCTTGCCCACACCAACAAACTTCATCTTGTACTTTCCAGCACAAAATTCTGGACAGATATGTGTGAAATATTTTGAATTTTATTCTTTTGACTGCCGACATACTACATTAATATTGCATGATTCACCATACTTAAGGTGCAGATACTAGCTTAAGGCGCAGGCCCATGTTTTGCTGATGTTTCGCCGCAGCACGATGCATCCGCGGGGGTTCGGCTGCTAAGTATGGCCACAAGCGCTGCCCATGTTCTAATGTGAAAAATAAGACTTAAGGGCTCTCGAGCTAGCGTGCTTTTGACCTTACAATAAATTATTACTGGCGCGTTTTCAGTAGTAATTATTTGGTAGATGAACAGTGAGGTCATGATGCTATCTAATTTGCGTTAATTTTTTGACTGCGGTTACATTTTTATGCATATGAAAATCAACGGGTTTAACTACCGAGACAATGGGAAAGTCGGGTTTTACGTCCCACCTATACTGCTGTGTTGTGTGAGGATTGTGTGTGAGGACTTGATTCACAGCCACCGACACCTTAGCTCCATGGTATCACGTTTGTGATTTTTTTATTGCACAGAGGACTTAAAAGGTTGTTGAACGTTTTCTAAAATGTTGGACGAACGTCCTCCCTAATTGCATAAGCAGAACACATGCATTTCTGACAAAAATGTAAGCGTTCACTCCCCCACGCCCTATACGCTCACACGAAGCTGTCGATCCATTATTACTTCTCGTGTAAGCAAGAAGTTTAAATAGTTGGGCAAATACAGTGAGTGACCGATCTCATGAAATATTGGCTAAAATTCTGAGGTGCGTTTTCGATCAGGAAGAATTACTTGGGCGCGGTTGTAATACTGATTATCTTGCGGCGTAATCCTATAATATTTCGGACGCGGCAGGATGTCAGCTTTCGAATATATTGCCTTTCAGTCTCCTGTAGAAACCGGACTCAGTAGTAAATGACTACTTAAGTAGCATGCATTTTCCCATTGATTGTCGATGGTCTTGCAAATTCAAATATATTTTATAGAAACCATTAGCAAAAATGTGCTTTTTTGAGTCGCTTGATAGAGAATTACATCTACTTCATATTTTATACCTAAGAATGGAGCATAATTAAGTTTACAAAAGTTTATAATTATAAGATTTTTTAAGACCGAGCAATGTACATTCACATAGCATTGTACCTGTCCGTTAACCGCTGCTTTCATGAAATGTACAATACAGTCCGCATTTATTGTTTGATATCTTTAGAAAGGCACAGAAGAATATGTGGCTCTCTTAACACGGAACGCGTGCACCTTGTAGACTGAAATCATTAAGCGCTAATGAATCTAAGGATCAGGCTCAAAATTATTCGGCAATCGGAAAAATTTTTGAAACCTAATTATGCTCCATTCTTAGGTATAAAATATGAAGTAGACGTAATTCTCTGTCAAGCGACTGAAAGAAAGCATATTTTTGCATATGGTTTCTATAAAATATATTTGAATTTGCAAGACCATTGAAAATCAATGGGAAAAATGCATTCTACTTAAGCAGTCATTTTTTAATGAGTCAGGTTTCTACAGGAGACTGAAAAGCAATATATTCGAAAGCTGACATCCTGCCGCGTCCGAAATATTATAGGATTATGCCGCAAGCTAATCAGTATTACAACCGTGCTCAATTCATCCTTCCTAATCGAAAACGCAACTCCGAATTTTAGCCAAAATTTCATGAGATCGGTCACTCACTGTACATAATGAATGTCGCTTAACTGTGACGGTTCCATCTCTTGGTTTTCCCCCTCATCAGTGCTTCTACACCAGCTCTATTGCGCGCCTCAGTCCACGCGCACCGTCCCTCAGCTGTCTGCCCGTCTGGGCAGGTGGCGAATCAGGTCAAGGCTGCATCCATCCGCTCTGACGACCCAAAGCACTTTTTGTTCCACGTCCCTTGACTTCGGAAATTTTCGTCCTAATAGTTAAGGCCCTATAAAGCGTTGATCTTACAGTCCGACCGGTAATCTTGACGGATGGCAGGACAAACGCCCAGACAGTCCCGGCTGTCCGTAGCTTGAGTCCCCTAATGCATGCCAACTAGGACGGAGGGACCGTGGACTTGCTCCCGCAAACCCATAAAAACAGCCGAAATCACAGCCCAGCTGTCATTGTGATATGGCCTAGCGCTGTCAGCACACGTTTTGACCATACTGCGTCTCCTGCTGTCTGAGGTATCAGGTTGTGCGCCTTTCGTCTTCTCTTGATGACTGGGGCCTGATTCCTCTGGCGGTTAGGACACACCCGTCAGTTCCACCATTGTAAGCGAAGAAGATCACCACGTGACTCACTGAATGCGCGTGACACCGGTGATTTGCACATGGAATAGTTGATAATGCGGCAGTATTGTGCAGCACACGCCACACTCTCTCCTCCGCCGCCCACCAGGTTACGGTGACGAGGCACTGTTAAGGCAACCGGAGGAGGGCTCGGACACATAGGATGGCAAAGCTAAATAACCCGTCTACGCGTGCTACCCACAACCTGGTCTCTGCATAACTTACTAGGTTTTCGCGAAGTTGGGGCGGTTTGGATCACACACTCGTGAGAAAGCCATTGGCGCCACATTGAGAAGGGGGCGTTGATAATTACCCCTTTTCCCAATAGAAGCGGAGAAAAGAGCCCCGGGAAGCAGTCGTGAAGAAGGGGACTCGATCGCTGGAACCAGAGCTTCATTCGCCTGACGCTTCAGATTCCTGCTCGAACCCATCATCAGGGCCCTTGTCGTCCATTGTCTCTGATGAAGGGTTCGAGTATGAATCCGAAACCTCAGGCAAGTCGAGCTCTTGTGCCAGCAATCGTGTCTCCCTCTTCATGACTCCCATTCCCCAAATTAGTTACGTACAGTAGATGTGCTAACTCATGAAGTGTCAACCAAAATTTCGAAATGCGTTCTCGTTTCGAACCCTGAATGCAAGTGTAACAGCAGGTCGGGTTCAAAATTATTCGGGAATTAGAAAGATTTTTTAAAACCGCATTATACACTTCTTTTGAGTATGAAATTGGAAGAAGACGTGATTTTCTACCGAATAAGTAAAAGAATGAATATTTGTATGCATGTTTTCCGTGAATTTTCAAGGGCATCGAAAATCAGTGAGAAAATTGCATGCTTCTTATGCAGTCATTTTTTGCAGAGTATAGATCCTGCATGCAGCCGAAAATAAGTTCTTTCGAAAGTCTACACCCTATGGTAACTGTATCATGATTAGTTTTACAACACTACTTGATTTATCTTTTCGAAACGAGAACGCATTTCGAAATTTTGATTGACGTTTCATGAGTTAGCACATCTACTGTACATACACACAGTGCTGATCACGAAGACCGAGTTATCCAGTCAGCTGGAAGTCTTGCAAGCTACGACTGCTAACACCTCTTGATAATATCGAAGCAATGTCAGATTTTGCTGGTGGGTAATGAGTTGATATGCCGTGACTATGGATTCTTCAATATTGAAATCTCTCCCTCTTTCCTGTCTATGCCCCATCTTACTGTCCGGGTCGGTCCGTGAGCTGGCGATGGCACCGGGCACAGTGACTATCAGAGCCGCGTTAGCATCTGCGCGGACCACACGCAACCTGGTCAGGAAGTAGGCTGCGTTGAACAACATGCTTCCCGATGACGCGAGCATTGCATGCTCTTTCCGTGTGTCGGGTATTGTGAGGCATGTTCGTGTGGGGATGATGGTCTGATGGAGCGAGTTGTGGT